TTTTATTAATTCAAATTGATAGATAATCATAAAATTATTTTATATATTGATTTAAATTAATGAAATGAAGTATCAAATAGTTTTTAAATTCTTTAAAAATTTACAAACTTGATCTATGTATTAATAATTTTAAATTCAATTGCTAAACTGTTGAAATTTGATGTAAAACATAAATTATTGAATGAAGTAAGTCCAAATAGACTTATTTTTAGAGTAAACGAATATATATATATATATATATTAGCATTTAGTTGCCTTCATTAGTTCTACGTATACGTAGCTTTTGAAACATTTAAGAAAAAATACCACGATGCAATTTATTTATTTTTTAAGAAGTTGAATATTTAATTTAATGAAATCAGTTTTTGTTTGGCTTTTCTTAAAAAAGTTACCACATTTTCATAATTTTTTTAAAATGTTTTCATTTTTATTTTCTCCTCATATAAAAATCTAACCAACAGAACAAGACATGTCATTTTCGAGCCGTACGTAGCAATAGCAAAAGACATTCTCTGTGAGTCTCGTGATCCTTCCGAAAAGTTCATTTGTGCACTGAAATGTTCTTTGACAGTTGTTTCCATGCAATATGTCTAAAAGAAAATAGAAGGACGAAAAATAAAGAGAAAAAAATATCAAGTGATTAATATTATTTTGGAATGTTAATATTTAATTAATAAGAGTAATTCAACAGACCAAGCAAAATATTTATTTTATTTCATTCCCCTCTTTTTGTACAATTCTTAAGTAAGTCATTTGTTAATTATCAAGTGATGAGATTTTTTTTAACTTTATTAAGTAGTTTTTGGTTAATATATAATTATGTTAAATATTAAAAAAAAAACAATATTTTGTCACCTTAAATGATCTTACTTGGTCAAGGCGTCCAAACATACTATTGTTCAAGTCTTTCTTTTACATTCTAAAAAAAAGTTATTTATTAATACTAGCAAGAAAAAAGTGTTTTTAAAAACAAAAACAAGAGAATAATTAATATTGTTAAAGTGATAATTAAATATTATATATATATATATTCTATTTTTTTCCTTATTTATAAATAATAACTATTTTAACGATTAAGATTGATTGTGCCGGCTAAAAGATATACACGCGAACAATAAATTATGAAGTTATATAAAATTTGAACCATTAACTAATCTCAGACCTTAATGGCAAAGATACAAAAAAAAAAATCATCAAAATTTTGTCTTAATATTAATATGATTTATATAAAAAAGAAATACATGAAAGGTTGGGTAGAAATTAAAGAGCAAGGGGTAAGACAAACTTGAATTTGGTATTGATTTATTTTTAGTTTGAAGCTCTAGCGGCTTCAATATTCATTTTTCCGACAAAGAACAAGGAAAAAGCATTAGTCAATATAATTGATTTTGAAAGTTAAGTGTTCAAGTCTTCAAGTCACGTTGATTTCTGGTTACATATTGTACTGCATAAAGAATTTCAATTTGGCATGTTCATGACAGATCTCATATGTTTTCTGAAAGTGATACATTATTTATTTATTCTTATCTTCTAGTCTTTTAATAAATAATAATATAAACCATTTGGCAATAATTTTATGTTTATAATAATGAGTATATGTGACTCTAATATGGTTTTGAATTCATGGACTCGTTCACGCCCCTATTTTGGGTTCTTCTGCCTTAACTTGGATCAATGGTAGCTGTTGAAATTAACTCAAAATGAAGCCACTGTTGAGACCATTCTTTGGCGATAACACAGAAAGTACCAACATTTTGAAGGGTTCAAAATCAAAGAGAAGGAAGATTGAGAGTAAGCAAGTCATACATAATAAAGAACCATTCCACCCTGCTTAATTTGTTTACTATTTACGGAAAGGAAAATGAAGAATTAATAATCCTTCTCCTAAGTCCTAAGTCCCAAGTCCTAGGGACCATTTAGTCCAACGTGAAGGACTGCCTAAACGTATCAAGTGATTTTGTTTTTGAGTTCATTTATCATATGATGGTTTAATTTGCTAAGTTTTCTTTCAAGGACCAAGTCATACCTATAACCCATGATAAAACTTGTGCCCAAAACATATTGGTTCATGATATATACACCTCCTTTTTTCTATAAGCACACCTTCTTTTAAAAAAATAATTAAAATTTTAAAATATTTTTAGTTTTTTGTTTTAAATTTTTAATTTTATATTTACAACGTTTAATTTAGTACCTTTTTTTCACACATTTTTTTTTTTTTTTTAAATTTTTACATGCACCCCCTTATTTTTCCTTCACCCCACCTATTTTAGTAATATGTGAAAATTGAAAGAGAAAAAAAAAAGTGTGTGAATAAGAAGAAGAAAGTAGTAAATTGAAAGTTGAAAGTATAAAATTAATTTTTTTTTTTAAAAATAATAATTTTTTATAATTTTTTTTTAAAAAAAGAGATGTACTTATAAAAAAAAGGAGGTATATATATCATGAGGCAAACATATTACTTGCTACCCAAAATAGAAGCTTCGATGTGCTTGGACTATATCATCTGTACCCAATAAGAAGCGCTACTGGCGATCCATAAAGGCCCAAACTCCAAAATAATTCATTTATGATCCAAAAGTTAATCTCAAATAATTTTAGAGTTCAACTATCATGTCTAGTTATAATAAATAATATTTTTCAATAGAAAAATAACTTCCCTTTATAAAATTAGAGAGATACTTCGCACTTCTATATAATTTATTTTAAAATAAAATAAAATAATTTAAATTTAAAATAATAAAACTTAAATAATAGTAAATATTTCTTAATTAGAGAATATAAGTAATTTAAGATAATTATAAGCATAAAACGGGAAAAATAAATATAATATGTACAACAAAATCATACTTGTAGTATAGATTACATAACATAGTTCAAATTTGAAAATTGTAGTTAATAATAAGCAAACAATTTTTATATATAAAATATGAACAACTATGTTGAACATTTTTAAGAATTTATTTTTGATAAGAAATTTTTTAGGGTTTTTTTTTTAATTTTATATCTAATTATATATATATTTATCATAATTATTTATGAATTAAATTTTAATATTTTAAAATAAATTATCAATAAATAAAAAATAATTTTATGATATAAATAAATTATTTATTATAAAATCAAATCTAATTTAAAAATATGTATTTATATAAATTTTAAATATAAT